GTTTTAAGTGCATTTTAATTGCATAATTAATTTGAATCATTAAGGTATATTAATAAATCAATTTATATTATTTCATCATCGCTTCTAATATTTCTATTAAATATTATTTTTATACCCTTCACCTTTGTAATTTTTACAATATAATTTATCGACCCTATAAAGTATATATCGTTACCTAAAATGCAAACGACCTTAATTAACCAAAAATTCAAAAATCTACTTTTGAACTCCTCCGATCTAAATTAGCGATTTTATTAGCTAAAAACAAAAGGCCATATCCTTACAGTTATTGAAATGGATTTGTCGATATCAGTATATTTCTTGAAAACATTTTTCTGACGACCCCAGATATCACCGGTTGCAATACTTCACACATGCTGCACACGAATATCGAAGTGTTTTAGGTGAACACCTGCTCTGAGGGTCTTTTTTACCCATTGGGTAGCATTGAGAACGGTCTACCATCGCCCCTGAGTCCTTCAATGAAGAAATCAGATGGCAATTTTTGTAAATGGCTTAGCCGGTCCATGTGCAAGCACTTTGCTGAAGTACTCGAGCTATCTAATCTCTTGCCATTGTAGCCCCGTTGGGGAAGGCCAGGTGTCATGAGCATGTTATGAGGAATGCTCTTGTCCCTATAAACATTCCGATCATCTAAAGAGCCAACCCAGTGCATTCCTGGACCTCTTAAAGTCGCCCAACTCTACTGAGATGGCTTCTGTTTGTTTGGTAACAGCACCTATTTGGTAACCCCAAATACCCTGGATCCCTCTTCATGAACCGATCTGTGACAAAGGATGTAAGAACTTCCAAAGTCAACTGAACCCAATAATTGCCCCGGCAAATAGTCGCGTAGCTTGAATCATGAATATCCTGTGGAGATAGCAGCAGCACCGAGAAACTTCTCCGAAGCGTAAAAAGGCATACTAAATCAGTACTAATCTCCAATATATGGAGACTTTCCCAATCAGTTCCATTCCCATGATAATAAAGAACTCTCTACGGAATGACAGGCAATCACTGAACGCTAACCTGACAATTCCAAAGCATATACCGGCTCCCTACTATACGACCGGTAAGAAATACCGATCGGGTTCAGAAATCCAGCATATACTGCTTTGTACACAGACCCGTGTCATTTGAAAAGAGAATTAATCAAATTATAGGATATATCAGGCTTAAACCAACATTCTCTTCCCGCGAATTTGGGTTTAAACCACAGCCACTACGTGGATCTTGAAAATGGTTTATTTTTGGACCCATAAATGATAGTGTCGGTCCAAAGGTATCGCAAAATTGTTAAATTTAAATTTTCAATTGCCTATAACTGAGATATACATATATGAGATAAAAATAGCACACTCAAGCTTGTTTTTAAAGGCGAGAACTTTACAAAAATATAAATAACTTTGAATATATTTTTTGTTTAAAAGTTATTAAGCAATTATTTAAATATCGTAAAATCTTCAAAAAAACTTTTTTATCAAAACGATATTTTTTGAGTTATTTGTATCTGGTAATGAATAATCGATATGAAAATATATATGCAATTTTAATTATATTTATTGGTACATGTTTTTCATTTTATATATGTATGTATGTACATTCTTTAAATGTCTTATTCCTCTACATCGACATCTTCTTTATGGTGGTGAGGACCATGATGTGGTCGTTCACACTGAATAAAATGATCACGCGCTTCATTACAAACTGCAGTATTGGACCAATAGGAATCCGGACAGTCCTCAAGTGAATGGACATGAACACAACCTATTAACTTACCACCGTGTTTTGGACCACAATCTGAAAAATCGTGATGTCCATGATCGGGCATATTTGATACAAATTTCTTATGTTGTTCATAGCAACTCATTAATTTATTACGCACGTATTCCATTTTTTCGGAATCATCAAAAACTTCGTTTAAGTAGGTATCCACAATATCATCCTGAATTTCGCCGTCAACTAAAATGGCCGTTTCATTAACAACACACGTAAAGAAACACTGCAAAGGGGAAAAATTAGTATATTGTAATTAATCAACTTTAATAATAAATATACTCTGTCTTCGTCTATAGGATCACACTTCGCTTTAATATCCTCCGAAATAATATCTAAATCACAACAATCGGTTAATTCCTGTAATAATTTTTCTTATTATTATACTTAAATAGTTGACAAGGCTTTAAAACAAACATCTTACCACAAAAGGTGGAGGCCTGTTGCAATCAGCTTCTGCCTTTGTGGCTACTATCTAAAATTGTTTGAAATATATTTAATTGTTTTAAGGATTTTTTATTAACTGTTATTTTTTTAATTACCCCAGCCACAATTATCAAAATTCCGTAAAGATACATTTTTGAAGTAACCATTTAAGTGGTTTTAACAAAACTAGTAAAATATATTAAATGTATTACGTTTTTATTTGAAAATTTAATTATAATACAAATATTATTTACTGCAATATGGACAATAAAATGCAATTTAATTGCATGTTTAA